GATGAAGAAGAGGTTCTTCGGATACGATCAGCTTCTGAAAAAGACACTCGGCCAAGCTACTCGTCTTGTAAATGTAAGTCTCTTTATACGTAGCTTCAATCATCCTGTCGGCCACTTTACTGAATAAAGATGCACTTGCAACACAGAGAATCCATCTTAGAAATCAGGCGAAGACCGCGACCCTCGAAAAATTGGTTCCCCATCTTGGAACCCTGGAAGCCACCAAAGACCAGCTGCGTGAAGCCAAGGAGCTTGCCAGGAAGACTGAGCATGATCTGAGAGACCGGATCGCAGAGCTCCAAGACTCCAACTTCGAGCTGAGCGGTTCATCAAAAGGTAACTCCCAACTTTGTCTGACTTGTTTCGTGTTGCTATCCATGTGCAACTAACCAATGAGAAGCAATACAGTGCAAACTGCCAAGATATCCGAGCTGGAAAGGCGAATCAAGGCTCTGGAAAAAGATAAGGGCGAACTGACAAAGCAGAGGGACTCGGCTCTGAAAGATGTCGAAGGTACTCACAGCTGCAACTTCAAGAAACCACTCTCATCTTCATGCCCACTCGCTGATGCGAATCTACTTGTGCAGATCACAAAATCAAATCCCAAGCCCAATTCGACGTCTTGGTTAACAAAATCAAGAGGCTTGAGGGAGCTAGAGATGAAGTCGCCAACGCTGCTGCACCACTCGTCCAAGCCATGTTCATTTGATGCTGCCAAAATATTCGACAAGCCGATAATTGCTCCAGAAACATATTTTAAGAACATGAAGGAAGCTGGAAGCATGGGAGCGAGTCTGGCGTTGGCGATGACCAAGTCCTTGTACCCAAAGATCAACATTGATCCTATCGATGGCTTTGCAGACGAGACAAGTGAAGAAGCTGCCCTTGATCTCATTAATGATGCGTAGAAAGCTGCTGACAAGATAGCCGCTGATGTTGTTGAGAGATTCCAGGACAACGACCTCAGGCCGACTGGATCTAATAACTCTGACGATGAAAAGACTGAAACTGATTGATATTGTTTTCTGACAATGATGATGATGATGGAGGCACAATTTGTACAATACTGATGGATTTATGCTGTGCTTGATAATTTAAACTTAGCTCCTGATTTCTTAAAAGTTTTTGTCAAACCTTATTGAGCCTAGAACCCGCAAAAGCTGTTAAAAACTTTCAGTCCTCATTGACTAAGTCAAAAAATCAAACAAGGCAATGATAAATCAAGTAAGCAAATTGAATTGATAAAAATCACACTCCATTATTATTATAGTAGCCCCCGACTGATAACTCAAGGAAGAACTTGATGTTAGCAGTCAAAGAGAAAGATACAAAAAGTAATGCCTAAGCATAAAAACAACGAAGATGTTCAATATTCCAATAGTTGTCGATATGAGTACCGTCTTCACGCTTGAGTCGATAAGAACCTGGTCGAGTAACTTCAGAAACTATGAACGGTCCTTCCCACAAAGGAGATAACTTGTGCCGATCTCGTGCAGTCTTAATTTTCCTCAGAACCAAGTCGCCGACTAAGAAAGCTCGTGATCAAACATTGCGATTGTGATAACGGCGCATCCCCTGTAAATACCGAGCCGACTGAATTAGCACTGCTTCACGGGCTTCTTCCAGTCGGTTGAGATCATCTACTCGGTCTTCTCCATAGCGCTCCTCGCTGAAATTACGAAATCGCAAAGATTCGAATTCTACCTCACTTGGCAACATTGCTTCCGCACCATATACTAGAAAGGACGGTGACTGTCCGTAGCCCGACTGGGTGTGGTGCGCAGGGACCAAAGGACATATGGCAACTGTTCTACCCATTTGCCAGCATAGGGATGCAGTCGGTCAAAAACTTGTGCTTTTATCCCTTGAAGTACCATACCATTAGCACGTTCAACTTGTCCATTGCTCATGGGGTGCGCTACGGAGGCATAACAAATTTTGATGCCGAAGTCCTCGCAAAAATCTTGAAATACTCCGCTAGTGAATTGAGTGCCGTTATCAGTGATGATTCGATTGGGTACCCCAAACCGGTGCACAATGTTGATGAAAAAAGCTCTAGCCTTGTCTGCCGTGATTGTGATGACTGGTTTGGCTTCGATCCACTTGGAAAATTTGTCAACAGCTACAAAGAGATGAGTATAACCACCGATAGCCTTTTTGAACGGGCCAACCATGTCAAGCCCCCAAACCGCGAACGGCCAAAATAACAGGATGGTTTGCAACTCCTGAGCCGGTAGATGAGTCTGTCGGGCGAAAAATTGACAACCTTCACATGTTCGCACAATTTTGTCTGTATCGGATACAGCTGTGGGCCAGAAAAAACCCTGCTGATAAGCCTTGCCAACAACAGTTCGAGCGGCAGCGTGATTGCCACAGATGCCTGAATGGTTATCTCTTAGCAATTGTCTTCCGTCTTCCAAAGACACACAGCGTTGCAAAATCCCTGATGGACTTTTCTTGTACAGCTCGGTCTCATGTATGACATAAAGTTTGCTGCGTCTGGAGATCCGCTCGGCTTCGTCTTTATCTTGAGGGAGCTACCAGGATGAGAGACTCTCCCGGGTGGGAGCAGAATGTTACCGTATGTTTGATCTAGCACTGAGTAAACTACGGAGTGTATAGTAGGAACACCCCGTAACTGATGTCATTACAGAGCGTTCATTTTAAACACTACGTAACATTAGGAGATTTACCAATTACACCCGGGATCTTGGGGCCCACATCCATCAGCCAAGCTATTTTCGTTGGCGCGAACAGAAATGCGTTAGCGCCAAAATATTCACGGTGGCGCGAATGCTATTTTTTTGGCCGAATCTAACGGAATCTGATGTTTATCGTGTGTTCTGGTACACACACCCGGTAATTCCAACTAACTAACGGACCAGCCGGTACTTAGGGCCACACGTCAATCAACGGCCTGAAAAACTTTCCGTTACTGCTACAGTTCCTCGGGTGAAAAGTAAACCAGAAGAATATAAAAAATAGTACTCATAGCAAAACTCACCCAGACCAATCGATATACACAGACGCCATATAATGAGCAGTATTTTTTGTACTGTTAATTAATTAATTAACTTATTTATTGCTGATTGTAGCATTTTCTTTTGAGGCAGAAATCATTGAATTACATACTGAAAAAACAAAAATAAAGTATAATGTTTCTAAATAGTTGGATTCTATACATATCTTCCTTTTAAGGACCCTTTGAATCATAGGATTTATGTAGGAATTTCATAGGATTCAAATCCTATAGGAAATTTTCCTATTTGGCCCTTTGATTCAAAGGATTAAAGCTTTCCAAATCCTATTAAATTCCTATGGATTGGCACATTGCATGTGGATTTTGTAGGAAATTTAGCAAGAGCTCCAACCTCTTGAAAAATTTTCTTTGAGTCTATCTCTCTCATCCGATTCCAGCGTTTTTCCTGCGCTCCAATCAAACGACCATTCCTGTGTTTCTCCTGTGTTTTGCAATCCTATGTTTTACACTTCAATTTCTGTCAGAATCCTGTAATTTTTCGTATTCCTCTGTTTTTTCTACCCTACGATTCAAAGGGGCCCTAAAATTTGGGGAGTATGACATGGAAATTTAATTTCCATAAAACTAATTCACTTTCTAAAACCAATGGTGCACGTCTTCTCTCCGTGGTTTTAATAAAAATTGTCAGATCTTGATTGATATCGGTTCAAACTTGTTCTTGTTTTACTCAGAAACCAGAAAATTGTATTCAAATTCCACTTTCCAAAAATTCAATGGTTTTCTGAAATACTTGAAATTCGACGCATTTAGTCAATTCGATGGTTTGATTTCTTTGATAACTATTTTCATTGATATTTCTTAGGTTTATTTAAAATTTAACTTTTCATCTTACTAGTATTAAATTCGTTTGTTTGTGCCTTCCATAGTTATCATAGAACTCAATTTCATCCATCATATTAATCTCTCTAAACCATGTAGGCTCGATGAGAAGCTGAGGCAATGGGACATGATGTCAGTGATTCTGCAAAGAAGTTCTACGACTTTCTGTTAATAGCATGAAGCCGCTAACTCACGAGGATTGTTCGATCTTGCTAGTGGGCTCGATTTGACCGCCACTTAGCCTAGGACAACTAATCCTTCCTTCGTCTTTGGATCGGCAAGACAACCCAAATTCATTCAGGAAATGTGGAGAAAACCATAGGTTGCATGCCATATTGGCCTCCTCTATCCGTTGCCCTCGCTCCTATAACTGCGTTGACATGTCGCCTTGCTATACTCACATTCTTAGTCTTGTTTCAGTTGGACAGAGGCATCGGCGTTGCTTCTCTCCTCTTGACATCACCCTACTTCCATATGCTGGCTTTAAATTATACTTATATTAATTTAGATGAATGGGCAAATAGCATTTAAATCAAATGAAAGGAATTTAAATTATATTTATATCAAATTATACTTTGATCAATACTTACCTATATGAATTGCATGATTTATAAACAAAGATGTAGGAACATATATGTAAAAACACGTAGAAATTAAAAGAACAAATATATACTAAGTTACATTAATTTGTTATGTGCTAGTTGATACTATGAGTTTGTTTTAGTTTTGGTTTTAGTTTATAAATTGCAATAAATATAAAATTTAGATACTTTTTAAGGGGTTTTAAGTCCTTTGTTCACTCAATGTCAGGAATTGAACTATTAAGATCCATTATGTTGCTCTAAAATTATTAAAGTATAAAAATCTTACTCTATAATTATCCTATTAGAAGTTTAAAAATTTTCATTCTAAATTTTATTGGAGTGAAATTATATTTTATCCATGAGAAGTATATGTTTCAGTGATATAATAATAAATCAACTGCACGTTACAAACAAATAAAAAAAACGAATCAGGGTTAATGAAACCAAATATTTCCCTCCAAATTCCCAATTTCCGGTGGTGGGCGGGAATACAAATCCCCCATCTTTCTAGGGCAGCAGTAACCATCCCTCGCGTGAGCCGTCCGATCCGTCGGTCACAGACAACCAAAGCCGTCCGTGCCACCATCACCTCCCCAAATCCAGTCCCCACTCTCGCACAGTCGCACTCGCACCCTAATCCCTCTCAGCCTCTCCCACGCGCCGCCGCCGCCGCCGCCTTGGCTCCTCCGCGCGGTAGGCTGCAACCTGCAGCTCGTCGACGCCGGCTTTGATTCCGATCGTCTCACCCTCTCCTCTCCTCGCCGCACCAGATCCGCATCGGCATCGTTGGCTAGGCATGGAGAATGGGGAGGGAGGAATTGTACTCGTGCCTGTCGGTGCCTCGGGGTGGAGTAGGATTAATCAGAGTTGGGGGGTGCTCCTCGTATCGTTGTCGGCTACTCGGCCCTCTGACTTTAGCAGTTGAAGGTGCTGCCGGCGGCGAGGTGGTCGAAACCTCCTCGGCGGTCAATGCTCCCCTCCACCACGCCCAGAGATGCGCATCTCTACCGTGAGGGAGGAGGGCACGCCAGCTGAGGAGACAGGGACGGCGACCGCAACGGCCATCCTGGTGGAGGTGGTAGTGTACGAAGGAGCCGTGCAGCACCATATCCTCACTGTCCCTGCAGTTCCCCACACGAGCCTGTTGCCTCTATTGCTGTCCTGCGACGCCAAGACATGAAAAGAGGCGCCGACACCCTGCGATGGCTACTTCTCCGTCTGAGTCTGCGACCTGCCTCTTGCTCCACTTTGGTACCACCACCACCACATTCCCATGGCCAGTGCTGGCCTCTCATCCTCCCTACCTGCCACTGCTGCTAGAGTGCTCGGTAAGTTCTTCCTAAATATACCGACGACGGGTGCTCATTGCCAAATCTTCAGCACTAAATATTATTAGGTTGGTAGAGTAATAATCTCCTTTCAGCACTTATCTTTCAGATCTGTGTGTACTGCATGGCATTATTTTTCCTAGGTGAGAAGTGATATTAAACTTATCTAAAGCCATCGAGCAACAAACTTATACCACTTCCTAATTTTGTCCAGCTGTTCATATGTCACACTCTTTATATCTGAAGCTGTTTTTGTAAAGGCAGTGTTCTATGATTATAGAAGTAACTATTTATTCATTTTCTGGTATATGTATGACTCCATGTTAGCTTGACCAACAATAAAATGGATTTACACTTATGAATATTTTCACTGTATTCTTTTTCTTGATAGGAGCGCAATCAACAATAGAACCGTGTTGAATGTACCAGACAATGGTATGGCCATGCAGGTCCCATGAATGTAAGCTACCATCATTTTGTTCAGTCTAGTCCAAAGACGTATGATCATTTAATATAGGTCTTTAACTTTTCTTGTGGACTTATCTAGCTTCCTTCACATTGCTGGACTATTCTTGTTGGAAACAAACAACCATTGTAAGGAGTAACTAACAAATCCTTGTATAGTTTTGTGCAAAAGATTAAATTACTACCCCTCTTTCATGCATTTATATATGTGTATCGCAAATAGTCGAGCATTATATCAACTAGTGACCCATTGCCACAGGTCTGATGAGTAATCTAATTAATGATCTTGGCCAGGTCAATTATTCCATTGGGTTGTATCTGAGTCCTGCAAGTTTTTTCCTCCACTTGGCATTTTTTATTTGGTAATATAGTCTGACAAAGCTCATTTTGTTAGCTCCATATGCAAGCTCTTGTTTCCTTCTTTGTAAAATATAAATTCATGTTTTCTGTATATAAGTACTACTATGTAGTTCAAAATTGGAGACATGATGAGGTGGACCATCATTGTTTATGCCCCTGCTATGCCAAATGCCACTAGGTTAGATGTTCCCAAGATGTTGCATACTTCATTTTTAGAAGGATCATGCAATAAATAATAGTACATGAAGATTGCATTCTCCTAGCTCTGGAGCTTTTGAAATAAAGGATTTGTGTTCCTAAATCAGACCTCATCATTTCTGCAGATATTCTTTTTGCTACCAGCTAGAGGGATCTGATGTACACCAGTTCCATCAGATACTCACCTGCGCTGTAAGCTCTCACACCTGATTCTCAGCAAGAAGATGGATCTATATTAATCCATTTTTACTATGTCTGCATTTGTGGTTCAAGTTTTTAGTTATGATATGGTGCTGCCATTTTGCCAACAATAGTGAATCCGAATAACAGTGAAGTAAAATACTACCAAATTTTGCCACTTCATATGCTAGTTAATTCTTTTGATCTGGCTACATGATATCCAATTTTTTTATGAACCCCTTGTGGATTCTAAGATAAGTTTTTGATAGATGAATGGCAATTGTTTCAACTGGGATGATAAATCACTATTTTGTTCCTGAATCTTGATTGAGCATTATATACTAGTAATCAGGATGTTCTGTCAAATAAAAGCTGCATAATCATTTATTTGGATTTGGTTGTAATGCCTGGGCAATTGGCAAATCAGTCACGTGGGCGCATATTGCTTCATCATGCGCCATCAACAATTCCACTGACACTATGCCTAAATTTTAACAAGCCTACATAATCTTGAATAAAAGATGTACAAGTTCAGATTACTTTGTTTTCAATGCGCATACATCATTCATATTATTTTGCTAGTGCTATTCTACATAAGTGTCATCACTTTGTTTTAGTACAACACATGAAAGTGTCACCACTTTTTTATGTGAAATTGATCTCTCTTTTATGCAATCTCAGGTTCAGGTTTTCCTAGTCAATCGGCTTATTTGCTATGTTATGAGGAGTGGTCAAACTGCCTATGGTGCCGTTCATATGATGTTTTCTTCTGTTTGCAAGAGTTCCTGGTTGCCCAAGCTTGTTGGTAGAGGAAGTAATGCTCAAATTCATCTCAATTGTAGCTGTTTCTGAGATTGGTATTTCAATTGTTCCATATTAGATTGTCATCAAATTGATTAACTGAACATGGATGTCAATGCATTTCAATCCATTCTTCTGTGTTGATGTGTGATTTGGATGCTGCTGTTCTGGTGCAAATAATAAATGAATAAGCAAATATTGCACTATCAATACTGTAAATAATGCCAGAGTCGGGAACATTACAGAGTATCAAATGAACGTATGGTTTTATAGGCACTCCGCAAATACTGAGACTTATCGTGTGTTAGATGCTATGCACCCGGTAACAGAAAATTGTTTGCTGGGTGTTCCAGGCGTACGCACGCTCCGTAAATTAAGGCTTCCCGTGTTTTTAGACGCACTACGCAATCGCCGCCGTTTCTTTTCACTCCCGGGTAATGATTCCGGAGTGAGGTACACGGCAACAGTGATTACCGGGTGTTTTTCCATTGTTGCCGGGTGTTTTTAGCACCAGGGAGCTTCTCCCTCTCCAGTAGTGGAGCTCTTGTTTAGCCAAAAATCTGATGAGGGGCTCTCTCCAGTCGGCTTCAATCGTGCTTACTTCTTGAGTGTCCGTGGTCTCGATTATTTCTTTCCTTAGTACGGTTGGCTCATAAAGATGTTCAACAAACACGTCGGAAGAAGCTGCTTTTCGTTTTGTACCAAAATTAGCCAGTCTGTCGGCTGCCTCATTATTATGTCGAAGGACGTGGGTTAGCTCAAGGCCATTGAATTTATCTTCTAACTTGCATACCTCCTGACGATAGGCGGTCATGTTATCATCAAGGCAGGACCACTCTTTCATGACTTGATTAACAACCAACTGAGAATCTCCACGAACTATAAGACGCCGAATTCCTACAGAAATCGCAATCCTTAATCCATGAAGAAGCGCCTCATATTCCGCCACGTTGTGAGACGCAGAAAAATGTATCCACAATACGTAGCTTAGTCTCTCTCCAGTCGGGGAAATTAGAACAACCCCCGCTACAGTGCCTGATAGCCTCTTTGACTCGTCAAAATGCATTGTCCAGTACTCCATCTTCTCCGTAGACGTGTCTTCTTGGCATACGGTCCACTCGGCGACGAAGTCAGCTAAAGCTTGGAACTTGATCGAAGTTCGCGGCTTGAAGGATAGATCCAAAGACATCAACTCTAAGGCCCACTTTGCAATCCGCCCATTTGCTTCGCGATTGTGAAGTATATCCCCAAGTGGAAACGATGTAACCACCGTAACCGAGTGACCTTGAAAATAGTGAGATAATTTCCTAACAGTAATTAAAACACCACATAGCAACTTTTGAACCTGAGGATATCTTGACTTGGAGTCGGCCAAAACCTCGCTGACGAAATAGATTGGTTGTTGGACTTTTTGAACATGGCCTTCTTCCTCACGCTCGATAACCAGGACCGTGCTTACAACCTGGGAAGTTGCCGACACGTATAACAACAGCGGCTCTTGCGGATGTGGCGAAGCTAAGACTGGTGGAGTAGTGAGAAGTTTCTTGAAGTCTTCAAAGGCTTTTTGTGCTTCAGGTCCCCACTGGAAATTATCAGTTTTCTTTAGCAGCTTGAAAAAAGGCATCCCCCGCTCGCCGAGTCGTGAGACGAACCGGCTGAGCGCCGCCATGCAACCAGTTAACTTTTGAACATCTTTCTAGGAGCTCAGCGGTTTCATGTTGAGGATTTTCTCCGGGTTGGCTTGTATGCCTCTATAGGACACCATAAAGCCAAGCAGCTTCCTTGACGGTACTCCGAAGATGCACTTTTCAGGGTTTAATTTCATCTTGAAAGCGCGGATGCTCGCAAAGGTCTCTTGTAGATCCGTAATCAAATCATCCTTCTGCTTGGTCTTGACGACTACATCATCAACATAAGCTTCAACGTTGCAACCAATCTGAGTTGAAAAGCATCTCTGGATCATGCGTTGATAAGTTGCTCCTGCATTCTTTAATCCAAAAGGCATGGTGATGTAGCAGTAGGCCCCGAAGGGTGTGATGAATGAAGTCTTCAAGCAGTCGGACTCCTTTAGTCAGATCTGATGATATCCTGAGTAACAATCCAAAAAACTGAGTAACTCGCAGCCGGCCGTTGAGTCAACTACCTGGTCAATGCGAGGTAACCCGAAGGGATTTTTGGGACAAGACTTGTTGAGGTCGGTGTAATCAACACACATACGCCATTGCCCCGTCTTCTTCTGAACCAGGACTGGGTTGGCCAGCCAGTCGGGATGTAGGACTTCCTTGATGAAGCCTGCTGCTAACAGCTTGGTCAATTCCTCCTTGATCGCATCCTTTCTATCCTGTTCGAAACGGCGGTCGTTGATTAATACGTTTAGCGTCTTCCTTAACATGTAAAGAGTGCTCAATCACCTCTCTAGGAATACCAGGCATATCAGATGGTTTCCACGCAAAGATATCTTTATTATATTTGAAGAAAGGTGATGTGCGCTCTTTCCTATTTACAATCTAACTCAGCGCCTATTACAGCAGTTTTAGTGGGATCAGAGGGATCTAGAGGAATTTTCTTGGTCTTGGCGTCGCCTTCTCCGTTCTTTGGCATCTTGGTTGCAAGCACTTCTCCTTTGGTTGCTGTGGACGCAGCCAGTCGGATTTCCTCTCGAGCCAGAGTGATCTCGTGGGTCTGGGACAGCTCGCAGCTTTCCTTGTCACAAGTGACGGCTTGCTTGATGTCGCTTCGTAGGGATATGACTCCTTGAGGACCTGGCATTTTCATCATCATGTAGGTATAATGCGGGACAGCCATGAACTTTGCTAACGCCGGGCGTCCGAGTATAGCGTGGTTCGCTGTCTCAAAATCAGCAACTTCGAAGCAAATGTTCTCCGTGCGAAAGTTCTCCCGAGTGCCGAAAGTAACCGGCAAGGTGATCTGGCCGAGTGGAGTAGAAGATAGCCCGGGGATGACTCCGTGAAAGGGCGCATTACTCGGCTTCAATTCTGTGCGAGGGATCTGCATGTCGTCCAGAGTCTTGGTGAAATGGATGTTGAGTGCACTGCGACCATCGATGAGAGATCGTCAGAGCTTGACGTTGCGAACCACTGGGTCTAGTACCAGGGGGTACCGCCCCGGGTGGACCACTCGGTCGGGATGATCCGAGCGGTCAAACTTGATAGCTGTCTCTGACCACCGAAGATATTGGGGCGTGTCGGGTTGAACAGCATTGATCTCCCGTTCGGTCAGCTTTTGCTTTCACTTAGATTCATAAGCCAGGGGTCCGCCGAAGATATGGTTGAGTTCCTTGCAAGGGTCTTGGCATCTTCATCATCCTTCTTCTTGGACTTGCTTTGATCTCCGTCAGTCGGTTTGCGTGCGTTCTTGGCGTATTGCTCTGCAAACTATTTGTAGACGAAGCAATCTTTGGCTGCGTGATTTGAATTTGGATGATGCAGACATTGGGAGTTCATAATCTTGTGGAAAGTGTTGATGCGCGAACGCTGTCGGGAGGACGGTGTAGTGGTTGCCACAAGTTCCTCGGGCTTACGCTTGCGATCCTTGTGATTGGTACTACCGCTCCCCCTGCAGTCGGCGTATCTTTCTTCAGCTTCCAGGTGGTGCCTGACTGCTTGGATGCGATGACGGCATCTTCGGCTTTTGCGTACTCATTGGCTTTTTCAAACATCTGCTTGACCGTCCTGGGAGTTTTGCGGCCAAACTTACCGACTAAGAGATCATGGCGAATGCCCTTGGTGACGGCGGCGATGATGACGTCGTCGGTGATGTCGGAAATCTTGTTGCTTTGCTCGGTAAAACGCCGGATGTAATCTCGAAGGGATTCTCCGGACTTCTGGACAACATTGTAGAGATCAAATTGGGTGCCAGAGCATTCAAAGGTGCCCTGGAAGTTGGCGCTGAAGTGGTCACAAAGCTCCGCCCAAGATCCGATTGTGCCACGGGGTAGCCCGTGAAGCCAGGACCGGGCAGAATCCGCTAGAGCCACGGGCATATAGTTTGCCATGGCTTTGCTGTCTCCTCCTGCTGCGCGGATTGCGAGACTGTAGACGGTGAGCCAAGACTCACGATTTGTCGTGCCGTCATACTTCTCGATTCCAGTCGGTTTGAAGCCGGCTGGCCAATCTACTCGATGCAGGTCGCTTGTGAAGGCAGCAACTCCATCTACGTCTTCGTCGTAACGATCTGGTGAATGGCGGGGGATGTAGCCTCTTGCCGCGCAGCACTGGTTGATAGTTTCACGAAGATCGACGGGACGCCTGCGACGTGGGGAGCGGGGATGTTCGGCTTGATGCTCCTTGTGCCAGTCAGGAGGCGAGTAGACAGATCGTTTGCCATGGTCCCTGCTCCTGCGACTGGATCCCGCGACGATGCTGAGGCTTGGTTGGTGATAATCTTGGGATCGAAGAGGCGGAACTCGGCTGCTAGTCGGCGTGTGGACGCTTGCGGAGTTTATGTCACGCCCAGAAATTCACTAGTAATTTCCGAACTTATTTGTGCATAAAATCCTCGTCCAGGAATCAGCCGAGGTACACAAACTGACAATTTAATATACAGATTCATCAAATTAACTAAAACGATAAATACTTACTTAAGAGGCACTTAGTCCTCACCATGAAGAAAACTGCAGCGGAAAATAAAATCTAGCGAAGCTCCGGCTCCACTCCCACAGGTAGCTCAACTGGGGTATAAGCCAAACGTCTTCTCCTTCGCAACTTGTCTTCAACTGAGGTTTGATTGATTATTGCAAGGTGAGCATATGACATACTCAGCAAGCCACACAGCAAATATGCAAGTGCACAGGATACCAAAGGATGGCATAATATAGGGCTCATTTGCAAAAGCAGCATTTAGCAAACATTTAAGAGTAGTAAAACAATAGAGTAATTAATTATCAATATTAATCAATCACTGAACAGCACATCCATGCTGCACAGGCCCAACCATCCTGAACAACCATACCCAGTTGTACAGATCTATCTCCAAACCAGGAATATACCATTCCAAACCAGGAGCTAAATTAATTACCATCAATTATCACATTACTATTAATGAGTAGTGTGGGACTAATCACGAAAGACATTGTTCGACCCGCCCATAACCGCGGGCACGGCTATTCGAATAGTTTTACTCTGGCTAGAGGTGTACCACTGTACCCACAAGACAAAACTCCACAATATGTCACCATATCATCATGTGCC